ACATTTCGCGTTTATATTAAATTCTGCGTCAATTTTACATCTAACGGCGTAACAAACTTTTCTTTCGTCAGCGATGGAGAACTTACCGCTGCAAGAGGGTTGGTTAAGCTGTGCACAGACGTTTTCCTTATTTTTTTTCGACAAATTTAACAAGCTCGGAGAGCGGTCTATTTTCTCACTTCCCCACCCCGACCACCTACTCTAGGGGTAGATAAATTTCCCGCGGGTCTGTGAACAGGCTAGAAGGAAGACTGAAGATATATCTTTATAATACATGAAATTTACTCCATTTATTGCGAACCGCCTTAGCCCGGGTGTTTCAATTCTTTACTAACTTGTGGCTTACACTTGCCACATGTGGTACGCTTGCTACACTCGCTACATGTGCTACATCAACTACGATTGCTACACGTGCTACGCATGTTACATGTGCTACACTTGCTACGCTTGTTACGCGTGCTATGCTTACGACAGTTCCTGCGCTTGCTACACTTGCTATGCTTGCTACACTTGCTACACTTGCTACGCTTGCTACGTTTGCTACCCTTACTACGCATACTACACTTGCTACACTTGCTACACTTGCTACACTTGCTACGCTTGCTACGTTTCCTACCCTTGCTATGCTTGCTACACTTGCTACACTTCGGCTACCCTTGCTACACTTGCTACACTTCGGCTACCCTTGCTACCCTTGCTACACTTGCTACGCTTGCTACGCTTGCTATACACTTGCTACAGTTGCTACGCTTGCTACACTTGCTACAGTTGCTACGCTTGCTACACTTACTACATTTGGTACGCTTGCTACACTTGCCACGTTTGCTAAACTTGCTACACTTGCTACGCTTGCTACACTTCGGCTACCCTTGCTACACTTGCTACGCTTGCTATACACTTGCTGCACTTGCTACAGTTGCTACGCTTGCTACACTTACTACATTTGGTACGCTTGCTACACTTGCCACGTTTGCTACACTTGCTACGCTTGCTACGTTTGCTACGTTTGCTACGTTTGATACGCTTGGTACACTTGCTACACTTGCTACACTTGCTACACTTGCTACACTTGCTACGCTTTCTACACTTGCTACACTTGCTACGCTTGCTACGTTTGCTACGTTTGATACGCTTGGTACACTTGCTACACTTGCTACGTTTGCTATACACTTGCTACACTTGCTACACTTGCTACGCTTGCTACGCTTGCTACACTTGCTACAGTTTCTACGCTTGCTAGACTTACCACATTTGGTACGCTTGCTATAAACTTGCTACGTTTGCTACACTTGCTACACCTGCTACGCTCGTTACACTTTCTACGCTCACTACTCTTGCTACATGTGCAACGCTTACTACATCTTAATTACTAAGATTACTACATGTCCTACGCTTGCTACAGTTGCTATGCTTGCTATGCTTGCTATGCTTGCTACGCTTGCTACACTTGCTCCGTGCGACATGTGCTACACTTGCTACGTGCTATATTTACTACGCTTGCTACATCTGCTACACTTGCTACGTGCTATGCAAATTGACAAGCTTACTCACACGCCTCCTTTACTTGCTCTGTTCTACATTTGTTACGTGTGATACATAAGCTTCACTTGCTACATAATTGCTACACGTGCCATACCACACAGATTATTGTTCGTTACACCACCCATATTATCTCCTGTTACACTGCTCATTCCATTCTTTTAGATACTACGCCTATCGTTTTTCTTTACAAAAATTAATTTCCATTTATTTCTTTTTTTATTGTCCTTATATTCGCACTTGTTCAAATATAATGTTACTGAAGAAAATGAACTTAGCATATAACTCGACTGGTTAATTATAAGAAAAAGGGGTATAGTATATATTGACTTTTAGCCGTTTTGCTTAAATGAAAAGATATAACATAATTATATTGAATAAGCCAATCAGAGAGTGGCTTCAGTGAGGTACTTTCATCTAAATTGCATTGGCCTCAGCTTGAGAAGTCTATATCCTGCCCCAATTGTTCAACTCTTTCTTCGGCTTCCGTGGAAATGGCAAATTCAAGTACGTATCAGGACATCCCGAATCTACGAGAGATATCGAGACAACGTGGCTTGAGAGCCTTAGCTTAGCAATCGCTGAAAATAAAGACATTTTGCTGGTTGGTGATCCGAATGCAAATTTTGTACCTACACAAAGGACCTATGGAGTCTCGAGAGAGATAAAGGACACTTTAATAGGTTTTGGCATGTCACAGTTAATCAATGAACCCACTGGAATCGCTAAAAGCAGCAGCACTTTGATTGACGTCATTCGTTCGGCACACCCACCCAATATTTCACTAACGAAAGTTATCTAACTGGGTATAAGTGATCACGTTATGCGGAAAATGAACTCATTAAGGTTCCAAGCACGAACTATTAAATGCCGCTGTTACACCAAGTACAAGAAAGAAGCTTTTAATAAAGACCTCAAGATGTCCTCGTGGGATTCGGTATTAAAAAGTTCTGATGTAAAATCTGCATGGAACGGCTTCAAAAGCATTTTTCTTGATATCTGTGATCGGCACGCACCATTGCTTACTAAAAAGGTACTTGGATACCAAAATCCATGAATGACCTCTGCAACTTCTAACTTTATGAAATCTAGAGATTTCTATTTAAGAAAAGCAAAGAAATCAGGGAGAGACGAGGACTGGGCTTCTTATCGATCACATAGAAATCAAGTCACAGCTGCTATAAGGAATGCCAAGTCTGATTATAATCAAAACTTGCGGGAAGATTACAATATTTTTTCCTCAGGAGAAGGAGAACGAAGAGTAGAAAGACGAGTGAAAAAAATGCCGGAGACAGCGGAATTTGGAGGTAAGTCATACCGCAGATTATTGTGATTGAGTTGTTAGTTTCCAAGTGTTTTCGACGGAAATGCATGTGACAGCTATGGAAGAACTTCAAAAGCTGATGATGAGGGAACTCCATCGTCAACTACAATCGACTTTCCCATAAGCGACCACCCAAAATGCAAAGGCTTGGTGCAGTCGCTTACGGGAGGTGGTCTCTTACGAGGGTCGGACCACAAGGGCGAAATTTTAAGTCAACCTAGAATGGTGTGGTATATTTATTCTAAAAAAATAATGAAAGTTACTTTCCCCTAACAATTACTGGTAGCTTTATTGACACAATCATTAGTTATTCTATGTGACAGTGCACTCAATTAGATGACGCTATAAATTGGTAGTTAAAAAATTTTACTTGTGTAGGTGACTTCAGAAATGTCTCTGAAACGTCTGACGAACAAAACCTTAACTTCTTCAACTGAAACCTAGAAATCTGAGTCTTTTGGTTAATATTGTAGTTATAGATCGAACTAAAAAACACAGTAACAGATGTGTAGACAATAATGACAGCCAAAGAATAAATTCCTTTTTGTCCATTTTTACACTGTACTTCACTGTCTAATAAGACCGTGTTTCAAGTGGTCGCTTACCGGAGGTTTAAAACAGTAGAGAAAAATTCTCAAACTGTCAGCAGAAAAAGTGGTCGCGGTCGCCTACTGGAAGTGATCGTTTACGAGAGATTTCAGTATAAGGCTTTGACTGAGAACATTTTTGGTGTTTTGGTGTTTGCAAGTTCATCCATAGTTGTCACATACATCCCTGCGAAAACACATGGAAAATATCAGCTCAGTTACAATAATCTGCGGCATGACTTACTCGAAACATTTAGTGTGCCAATCTCTCCGTTGTTACCTACTTTTTTTTCACTCGTCTTTCTACTCTTCATTCTAAAATAATATAATCTTTCTCCATTGCGGCAAAACCACTCGGAAAAGATCGAGGCTGATTTAAAAAAGTAAATGACAACAATTTCGCGGAAATCAGTTGTATCGCGATTGGTTCTTTTTCTTTACTTCCGGGTTAGTCTCATTTCCGTTTCGAGTCCAAAAAAAAAACAAAAATTGAACACAGATTTTCATTTTCATTTTTCTATGTTTAGAGAAAATGAAAATTGAAAATCACTTGTCAATTTTTCTTTTTTATTTATTAAATTAAAAAGAAATAAAAATTGAACACAGATTTTCATTTTTCATTTCTCAACTTTCAGAAAAAATGAATGACCCTAATATACACGCATTATATAAATCCGTTTTCCAATGTCACGCGTGAACAAAAACGAAAAATGGAAATGAAATTTGAATTCCATTTTCCCATGACATCGAAAAACGGTTGGCACTAAGGTACAGGCATTTATTTTCCCACTTCTTCACCCCGACCGCTTACGCTAGAGGTATCTAAAGCATTCGCGGATTTTTTTTTTTTTCGCACATGCGCTCAACGATTTCTATTTTTTTAAAATAAAAAACCGGAATGTCTGTAAATGGACTATAAACGTAAGACTTAAAATAATAAAAAACTGAATAGATATTTATAAGCAATGAAATTGACTCAATTTATTACGAACCACCCTTGCCGGGGTCTTTCAATCCTTTGCTATTGTGCGGATAAAAAAACAGTTAATAAAAAGTGTTTCAAGAAATCACTGATAACTAGTTGACCTTCGTTTCATTATTACTTTAGTGGTCGACAACACAAATTTGCGAAATAAGTCAGCGTAATCGCCACGGGTTACTTGTTTTATTCTTGGTTCTTAAACATCCACATTTTTGGTACTGTGCTTCTTAACGTGAATGGTTGAAGCACACTCAAAACACCCCTTGGCTTCTTCAAAGTCACCTAGGTCACAGTGAATTAGACCTAGGTTATTGTACGTCGTTGGAACATCAACTTGTTCGGCACCAAGCTTCTCAAGTCTGATAGCTAAAGCGCGATTATGATACTCCTTGGCTTGCTCATAGTCACCTAGCTTACGGTGAATTAGACCTAGGTTATTGTACGTCGTTGCAACATCAACATGTTTGGCGCCGAGCTTCTCAAGTCTGATCGCAAAAGCACGTTCATGTTACTCCTTGGCTTCCTCAAAGTCACCTAGATCTTGGTGAATTACACCTTGGTAATTGTACGTCGTTGCAACAGCAACATGTTTGGCGCCGAGCTTCTCAAGTTTGATCGCTAAAGCACGTTCATGATACTCCTTGGCTTGCTCAAAGTCACCTAGATCTTGGTGAATTAGACCTAGGTTATGGTACGTCGTTGCAACATCAACATGTTTTGCGCCGAGCTTCTCAAGTCTGATCGCCAAAGCACCTTCATGATACTCCTTGGCTTGCTCAGTCACCTAGATCTTGGTGAATTATACCTAGGTTATTGTACGTCGTTGCAACAGCAACATGTTTGGCGCCAAGCTTCTCAAGGCTGATCGCTAAAGCACGTTCATGATACTCCTTGGCTTGCTCAAAGTCACCTAGATCTTGGTGAATTAGACCTAGGTTATCGTACGTCACTGCAACATCAACATGTTTGTCGCCGAGCTTCTCAAGTCTGATCGCTAAAGCACGTTCATGATACTCCTTGGCTTGCTCAAAGTCACCTAGCTTACGGTGAATTAGACCTAGGGTATTGTACGTCGTTGCAACATCAACGTGTTTGGCGCCAAGCTTCTCAAGGCTGATCGCTAAAGCGCGTTCATGATACTCCTTGGCTTGCTGAAAGTCACCTAGATCTTGGTGAATTAGACCTAGGTTATCGTACGTCACTCCAACAGCAACATGTTTGGCGCCGAGCTTCTCTAGGCTGATCGCTAAAGCACGTTCAAGATACTCCTTGGCTTGCTCAAAGTCACCTAGCTTACGGTGAATTAGACCTAGGTTATTGTACGTCGTTGCAACATCAACATGTTTGGCACCAAGCTTCTCAAGTCTGATCCCTAAAGCACGTTCATGATACTCCCTGGCTTGCTCAAAGTCACCTAGATCATGGTGAATTGCACCGAGGTTATTGTACGTCGTTGCAACATCAACATGTTTGGCGCCAAGCTTCTCAAGGCTGATCGCTAAAGCACGTTCATGATACTCCTTGGCTTGCTCAAAGTCACCTAGATCATGGTGAATTACACCTAGGTTATTGTACGTCGTTGCAACATCAACATGTTTGGCGCCGAGCTTCTCAAGGCTTATGGTTAAAGCACGTTGATAATACTCCTTGGCTTGCTCAAAGTCACCTAGATGTTGGTGAATTACACCTAGGTTATTGTACGTCGTTGCAACAGCGACATGTTTGGCGCCGAGCTTCTTAAGGCTGATGGCTAAAGCACGTTCACGATACTCCTTGGCTTGCTCAAAGTCACCTAGATCTTGGTGAATTTGACCTAGGTTATCGTAGATGGTTGCAAGATCAACATGTTTGGCGCCGAGCTTCTCAAGGCTGATGGTTAAAGCACGTTGACAATACTCCTTGGCTTGCTCAAAGTCACCTAGATGTTTGTGAATTAGACCTAAGTTATTGTACGTCGTTGCAACATCAACATGTTTGGCGCCAAGCTTCTCAAGGCTGATCGTTAAAGCACGTTCATGATACTCCTTGGCTTGCTCAAAGTCACCCAGATGTTGGTGAATTAGACCTAGGTTATTGTACGTCTTGGCGACATCAACATGCTCAGCTCCAAGTTCTTTAAGCTGGACACCAGCTAACAGTTTGAAGTACTTTTTTGCAACATTAAATTCACAGTGCGCTCGACAAGTCAGACCAAAGTTTTCAAATGTTTTTAAGATGCTTTCATCATAAACCATTCCTTTCAAAATCACATGATCAGCTAAGGCTCCTAAATGCGGCACAAGGTGCATCGAATCCCGTGTCCTATTCTCTGGTGAAATTTCGGTTATGAATTGGTTTAATGTTGCAACAGCCCCATTGACGACCTCTGGCTTTGGACTCTCTCCATACGCATTTATTGAAGTTTTGATAGCATTGTGCACAACCTGATGTACTCGAATGCGGCAGCCAGCCTCGTCCTCTTCAAAAATCAGCAGTGAGCACCTTTTGATTCTCAAGCAAATAACTTCATTGTCTGTTGCATCTACTTTCCTAATGTAATTGATTGCTAAGCTCAGGTTTAATGGTTGCGGTGCGCACAGACAAAGGAAATTGAATAGTTGTTTAATAACGCTGTCTGACATAATCTGTGATTCGACTGCTAACGTTATTGCTTTAGTCATAGTGCTTGGGTAAATTGGGTTGGTATTAGCAAGATTATCCTCGGTAGTGCTTCTTTTACCTTCGTCTAATTTCTTCAAAAATTCACCCCAACCAAACTTTTTCGAAACTCTGGTCTGACGAATCTCGTTAACAAAGATAGCAGCACTTGCTAAAGCAAGGGGCTGATAGTCCAGTTTTTCTGCAACGTTTTTTTCAAGTTCGCTGTCGGCGATATCTGAAAGCTTCGACAACAAGAAAAAGGCATCTTCGGGCTCCATACCTTTGCTTACTGATATGTGACAACTAAAAGAGTTTTTTGAGGGAATAGACTGTATATCCTGTGTTGTAATCAACAACTGACCCTTTTCCCATGCATTGTGTCCAGACTTTGGAAGAAAATCAAAGATAGAAGGCACACTACTGACGTTGTCAACCACTATCAGCCACAACGTGTACAGGTTGATTTTCCCGGCAACAATCATCTTAAGATGGTTGATTTTTTCTTCAACCTTCCAACCCTTGGAGGTCAGAACTTCCATGACCAAGTGTTCCGGGCACTTAAGTTGACGAGCAAAGGAGGCATATGATTCCAAAAGTGAATCTATGCTTGCTGCATTTAAGGTCATCACAAATGAAGAAGCGTCCGGTATTTTTTTGACTTCATCAAAGAAATTCTGAGCTACGAGGCCAGCTAGCTGCGATTTGCCACTTCCAGGATTTCCTGAGATGTAAAGATAACTTAACTTGTTATCATTACCCTCTTTCAGCTCTCTCAGCTGTTGGGTTATCTTAGCTACCTCACGATCACGACCTCCAACTTCGTGAGAAGGTTTAGGTGGAAGAATGCAGAATGAAGGTGCTTCTTTCTGGAGCTGATGTTCAAGAACTATTTTCTTATTCTCCGTTTCTTGAAGGTCCCGTTTGAGGTCGTCAACCTGTTCCTGGATCTTTCGCAATTCTTCCGTGGGAAAAGCTCTCTGATTTTTTATGTCCTGAATTTGAGCAGTAGGTAGACCAAGCGCATGAAAAGCAATGTGAACTTTGCTAATGGCAATGTGAAAATCTTTGTCAGAGAGATTGCCTTGTGTTATGTGAGCAAATTCTTCATTTCTAAATTCTCTAAGATGGTCCACATTTGTCCTGACTGCTGCACTGATGCCTTTCCCAACACAGTCGGAAAAAAGAATGGCGTAAAATAGCATTGTACAGTCCCATTCTCCTCTATCCCCGTTTTTCATGGTTGCCAAGAGACGACCATTCCTTTTTTTGCTTGCTGGAGACTCCATGCTGCAAAAGTCTGTTCCATTCTGAGGATCATCTTTCCATTCTCCCAAGAGTGATGACTTGTATTGATTGTCCCACTCTTGTTTGAAAATTACCCTCAGGCCCTCAGCTAGTATATCGGTAGTAACTTTACAAATTCTGAAGTAGTTCAGTTCTTCATTGGTGTATTCCTTTGAAAGGGCCATAATTGAGACTTGGAACCTTTTGAAAAACAGACCTTACATTAGCTTTCCATTTGAAATAAAAAAGAGGTAGCTGAGGGCTACAAGTGGACTGGCTGAGGAAGTTGAAAGTGGAAATTAAAAAAGTTTTTATCTTAAAAATTAGTGGGAAACGCAATGAACGTTCTCTATAAATGAACTTGTTTATATGTAGTAAGAACGAGAGCAGGACTGAGAGCTGTTAGCTCACAATTTAACATAAGCAAAAGTACAGATAACGGCTAAGCAATTGTCTATGATTGTGTTCACTGAGCAATTTTTTACGATTTTTTTATACGATTTTGATTGAGCAAATGTGATGTCGCATTATTATTGAAATGTACTGTTGATCACCCTGTAAGGGGGCAAATAACTATTCTTTGAATTTCTACCCTGTCGACCAATCTGTTTCTTTAAGTTATTTGTTCACGATGCTTAACGAGATGGAATACCACAATATTCTTTAATTTAGTTGGATGTAAGACCGTACGCATGTGCATTTGGCTATGATTAGAGATCTTTAGCATTAGGTTTTTCATGGAAAACGGCAAACCGTTTCACGTTGTCAAGTCAAAGTACGTCACTTTAATCGCCCAAAAAACAGGGACAATTTTTTTTTTGTTCAAGTTCAAAAATCCAACAAGCACATCACAGACGGATAAAGAAACTACTTCGTTCCTCTAAACGTGAGGCCGTACAATTTTTAGTACAAAAAAACCTTGCCGTAAGTCACCTACCGCGGGACGCCCTTCCTGCCGTTCAAACGTGTACTGCAAACTGCAAACGCGACCGCAAGACCGTGGTCACGTGACATTGTCAGGTTAGCGGTTTGCAGTTTTCGATGAAAAACCTAATACTAAAGGTCTCTAATATATATGAGGTCACGTGTCGAGAAACACATAAATGTAAGAAAATATCTGTACGCGCTTGCGACCACCATATATACCTGAAGGATTTAATCGAAAAAGATTGGCATTTCTTATTGATATTTCTGACTTGCTGTTGAGGCGGTTATTCGGTTAATTACTTTTGTGGACATTTGAAAACTGAAGGAAGGAAGAAATACCATGTGTCTAAACTGCCTATGCGTCAAAAAAATCAGAACACTGTAGCACCTTTTATTTCAACTCAACAACTGTTTTAGCTTTGGCGGCTTTAGCTGACCATGTAAAAAACCACCGGATATAACATCGTGTGGGATCATCTTGACATTTTAGCGTCGGGTATCTGACTATCACTGCAAGATGATTATAGAAACATCGGAGATATAAAAAGATCTTAATCCAGCTTACCTTTAATGCCAACATCAGCAGTGAAAAGTTTGTGTGTTTTTCATTACCTGTTACCCTATGTATTCACTGTTAACCAAGAGAGGATAAAGGGGACAGAGAAGGCATCCCCCATACACACCCTATTCCATAGGTAATTCGTCTCGAGGTATTTT